GTACTAATTTTACTGAGCTCAGAAGGATAGAAGGCTGAGTTGACCTTAAAGCTTGGACGCTTGACTGCAGTAATGCATTTTAACCACTGCAACACATTTAGGGAACTCCAACTGCTATAACCTATGATTTTGCTTTGTTGCTTATCCAGAAGTGAAATATCCATGTCATGCAAGTTAGCTATTTTATCCATGATGATTTAGTTTGTCCCAGCATAGTATTGCAGTTTCATTTTCTAAAACTTGTGGTTGGTGGAATTTGTATTATGGAGGGAAAAATGTGAGTAAATCATCAGATTTAGCCAACAGCTGAAAACTGATCTTTGCAGTTTGCCTCTGCTTATAATGTCAAGGGATGTGGTGGCGCTGTGGGCTAACCCGCAGAAGCCTGTGCTGCAGGGTCAGAAGACCAAGCAGTCGTAAGATCGAATCCACGCGACGGAGTGAGCTCCCGTCGCTTGTCCCAGCTCCCGCCAACCTAGCGGTTCGAAAGCATGCAAATGCAAGTAGATCAATAGGGAACACCTCGGTGGGAAGGTAACAGCGTTCCGTGTCTAAGTTGCACTGGCCATGTGACCACGGAAAAATTATCTTCAGACATAACGCTGGCTCTATGGCTTGGCGACTGGGATGAGCACCGCCCCCTAGAGTCGAACACGACTGGACAAAAATTGTCAAGGGGAACCTTTACCTTTTATAATATGTCAATGTCAGGCAGCCATTGTTGTTTTTCATATTATAGGATGTTGTTCCAACATGGGGGTGGTGGAGTGGCTTCCTCTTATGCTGGTGTTCGTGAAAGCAACTAAATCACCTGCGTGAAACTCTCCTCCTTGTAGACCAGCAGGGCCTCCCCTGTGCGATCTGTGGATTTCTTCATTCCTTTGAGGGAGGCATAAAGGTCTTTTTAGTTTGGCTTAAAGCAGAAAACAGGGAAACAGGTTTCATTGTGTTCATCTAATTCTCCCACTAGATTTTTTTAAAAAATCAGTTAAAAATTGCACTGGCAGTCACACCTACTGGTTGGATGAGACGGAATTCCCACTGAAGTATAATCTAGTCAAAAAAACAACAACAACTGGGAGACTAGTTACAATATTTCAACAGCAAAAATCCACTTAAAAAAAAAAACACATCACATCAAGCCAATATTCTTTTCCTGCCAGGCTTCTGGCTTCCTCTTCAGTCCACCCTGTCTAGTTTTTCAGTCACACAACACCTTGAGATAGATTTGTGATGTTTTAGAAAGAACAGATTCTTAAGCAAAGAAGGCAACCCAAATGATCTCTAATGAACACAGGGAAAAACTTGAGAAAAGGAGGCCCAAGGATTATCTCCATTACTTGTGCTTTGTCTCCGTTCCATTAGAGGATAGGATAAATGAGTGTTAAATTTCAGTAAGGAACAAGCAGATGAGGGAAAGGAACAGAAGAACAGAGGGTGGCAGCCGTCTGCACCAGGCAGCAGTGTTTCCAAAGAGAGCTGGTCCTACCATTAGACAGAGTGAAGCAAAACCCACCCCTCCTCAGTCCACCCTGTCTAGTTTTTCAGTCACACAACACCTTGAGATAGATTTGTGATGTTTTAGAAAGAACAGATTCTTCAGCAAAGAAGGCAACCCAAATGATCTCTAATGAACACAGGGAAAAATTTGAGAAAAGGAGGGCCAAGGAAGCCTCGGTAGGCATTGTGATTATCTCCATTACTTGTGCTTTGTCTCCGTTCCATTAGATTCTAGAGGATAGGATAAACGAGTGTTAAATTTCAGTAAGGAACAAGCAGATGAGGGAAAGGAACAGAAGAACAGAGGGTGGCAGCCGTCTGCACCAGGCAGCAGTGTTTCCAAAGAGAGCTGGTCCTACCATTAGACAGAGTGAAGCAAAACCCACCCCACCCCAGGCAGCAGAAGCTAGATAACCCACCGGCTGATCCTCCCCAGCCCTGGCCTTTCTAGTGGAAGACTGGCCTGTGTGTAACTAGATAGTCTCCCCTGTACATCTTTGGACTACAACTCCCAGAATCCCCCATGAGCCCCCTATGGATTCTGAGAAGGGTTGTTCCAAATTTTGATCCTGCAACTTTTGATCTAGCCTGATTCTCTCAATGGCATTGGAGGCCTCACTCCTGTCACCGCTGATGAAGTCTGGTTGAGCCAGCCTTTTTTCTGCACCCGACGGAGGGGGCACCATTTGGTCCTTTACCCAGGCAGCAAAATGTCTTGGGTTGACTCCATTCCAGAAGGAACAGGAAAGAAGTGCCCGGAGAGACAGACAAGAAAAGTTTCCTGTCTTTCCTCTTTGGAAATAGAGAACCTGAGAGGCAGGAGGCTAGTCTTAATAGCTGCACAGGTCCCTTCAACCTTATAATATTTGAACAGGCACTAACCAACCAACCAGCCCTCCAGCCATTTATTTCAAAGAGAGCCCCACCCTTCTTCTGAGTTTTCTTTCCCTCTCTTTCCTGGGTTGGAAGCAGTCCGTTGTTTGTTTGCTGTTGATCAGCTCGGTTGGTGGCTACGTATACGTGCAATAAAGAAAGCAGCATGTCGTTTCAAGCAACTGTAGGTAACAAAATGTTTACCTGTCATTTCAAGCAACTGTAGGTAACAAAATGTTTTTTATTCTTTTTCCTACAAAAGTTATTGAGACTTTGTGACCGTTAATGAGAAACGAGGGAAATCTGGTGAACTCTGTCGCTATTCTCTGTAGATCTCTGTACTTCCACTGCGTAGCAAAAACCTGAATTTCACCAGAAATGCAAAACTCTGGGAAGACCTTCTGCCTCTTGAGTCAGTCTTGAATCTTCCCACCAGACAGTTTCATTGGATTACCTCAGGTTCTAGTAAAACAAAACGTTCCTTCTCTGAGGGAACAATGAGTCAGTAGAGCAGAAAAGAAAGATGCTTTGGCACCAGCCATCATGTCGAGGGACCAGGCCTTCAGAGAACATGGGGGGGGACGGGTTTTCTGTGTATTACACATCTCCCTTTTTATTTCCTCCCTGTTTTACAATGCATGTTTATTTTTCCTCCCCATATTTCTATCATCTGTGATGTAGTGGTAGTTTTTCAAATGGAGGTGCTTATCATGACATATTTCACCAAACTTCTCCAGGAGTCCAAAAAGTGCAAGTACTTGTTTTATTATTGGTAAAGATCTGGAGAGACTGATCACAAGCCAACTAATAAATTAGTTGAGCTTCAAAAGCAGGAAAACGGAGATCAATGATCACAAGCCAACTAATAAATTAGACGGGGCCACCTCTAGAGATATGTTATGTTATTTTATTTAAAATATTTTTAGCCTGCCTTTCTCTTTCAGCACATTTGAAGTGGACTACAGTAGAACTCCCATATCTGTGGGGGATTGGTTCCAACACACACACACACACACACACAGATGCTGAAAAACAAAGATTATAAGAAATATTATAATAGACCAGTACTTATAATAGTACTGGTCTCTGGCTCCCTCTAATGACCAGCTCTGGTAATGATAACATACAGGTATACAGTGGTGCCTCGCTTAACGATTGCTTCGTTAAATGATGAAACCGCTTGATGGTGAAGTTTTGCGATCGCAAAACTATGTTCCTAGGGGGAAAATTTGCTTAATGATGATTGGTTCCCTGCTTCGGGAACCGATTTTTCGCTAAACGATGTTTCTGAAACAGCTGATTGGCAGTTCTAAAATGGCTGCCCGCTGTGCAAAATGGCTCCCCGCTGCATTTTCAGGACGGATTCCCTGCTTTACAGGCAGCGAAAATGGCCGCCCCTATGGAAGATCTTCGCTGGATGGTGAGTTTTCAGCCCACTGGAATGCATTGAACCAGTTTCAATGCATTTCAATGGGCTTTTTCGTAGTGCTGTACTGGTCTCTGGCTCCCTCTAATGACCAGTTCTGGTAATGATAGCATAGAGGTATTGTATACAGGTCAGTATTTTTCTAATGAACAGTATGCATAACGTGATCTCTGCCTCCCTCTAGTGGCCAGTTCATGAACAGTATGCATACCGTGGTCTTTGCCTCCCTCTAGTGGCCAGTTCTAGTAACTATCTTTGAAAATATATATATTTCAAGGAACTTTTTTAAAAAATATTTTTTTAATGTTTTCAGACTGTGGATAATTCAATGAACTTTTTAAAAAAATTTTTTAATGTTTTCAGACTGTGGATAACCGAATTAGTGGACACTGATCCTGGAGATATGATAGTTCTACTGTATTTGAGCAAACACTTCACCTCATAGTAGGACCAGCACTGAAACAGAGGCAAAATAGTAAGAAAAATAATATAAAACTTTTTTTTTCCTGGAAAAGGAGCCTTTATTTCTTCTCACAGTGACCAAGGGTTCCTTCAAGAGCTATGAGAATATCCCCATCTACACTATAGGAAAAAACTACAATCGATCTCATCTATACTCATGTATACAGCTGCCCCATGTGTACCCTTTTATGTTTTTTAAGGTCAGAGCTAGAAACGAAGCTTTTGGGACACTCGGAGCATTCGTAGGGCTTCTCCCCAGTGTGCGTACGCTGGTGCGTGATGAGGTTGGCTTTGACGCTGAAGCTTTTCCCGCAGTAGGGGCAACTGTAGGGTTTTTCCCCCGTGTGCCTCCTCTGGTGCTGAACCAAGTGCGCCAGCTGGCTGAAGTTATTGCCGCAGTACGAACAGTTGTACGGCTTCTCCCCAGTGTGCACCCGTTTGTGGGTGAGCAGCCGCGAATTAGTCACAAAGCATTTCCCGCACTCGGAGCACGGATAAGGTTTCTCCCCAGTATGGGTTTTCTTGTGTATATTGAGGTTCCCTTTCTGGCTGAATCGCTTGCCGCACTCGAAGCACTGGTGAGGTTTCCCTCCGTGGTCGGCTTTGTCGTGAGCCGGAAAGGCCGCGCCCCACGACACCCGTTCCCCACACGCTTCTCCTTTGGACAGTTTCTCTCCTTTGGGCGTCTTCCAGCCGTCGGTGCTCAAAGGAAGGAAATGTCCGCCTTGCTCGCCACCCTTTTTCGCTTTACATCTGCAGGTGACCGCTTGGCTTTCGGGGGCGCCTTCGTCCCGTCTCACGGCGGCGAGGCACTTGGGCAACTCATCGCCGCGCTGAGGTAATTTTCCTGGCTGCTCTCTGCAGGGTCTCTTGTGGAAGCGTTCCCCGCACGCCGCGCAACGCGATGGCTTGTCCACGGTTTGCACTTTCCGACTCTTAAGGAAGCCAAAGCTCTGAGGGAGACCATTCTCCGCGCTGGCCTTGGCTTTTTTCTTCTGCCCAAAGCCTCCTTCTGGGAAGCTTCTTCGATGCACACTGTTCCCACCTTCGACCAGGCAGGGGGCCTGTTTCCCGCCTTTTCCGGGATAGTTTTGCTGGAGGTTCCCAAACACGCCTTCCCCCTCAGGACCCTGGAAAAGTCTGGTTCTTTCGGGAGGCAACCCCCACTCCATGGGCTCAGATATTCCCAGCAGAAACGCGGCCTTTTCCGCTTTGTCTTGTACTTGCTTGTTGTGTTCTGGAACAAACAGATAATCAGAACAAAAGTCATACGCCCAATAATTCGTGACATACCCGTTCCTTCCTCAGCCCTCTAATACCAGTTGGCAGACAACCAGCAACTCACAGGTAGAGCTGGCCCAAGACATTTTACTGCCTGAGGCGGAATGATAAACCGCTATGGCTAAGTTCGTTTGGGACATGGAGGATTAAAAAAATCCTATAAGCACCTCTTTCCACTCCTAGTAGTAAAGATACAATGGCTTCTGAAATAAGATTTCAATAATAAAAAAAGAACTTCCTATCTTTTCGGGACACCTAAAATCTGCTGCCTGAGACAGCTATCTTCTTCTGTCTAACAGAAGGGTTAGAACTAATCCCAAATGGCTTTATATAGTATCTACAGGGGATCGGTTCCAAGCACCTCTCCCGTAGATGCTGAAAAAGTGGATTACAGTGGTGCCCCGTATAGTGAGGGTAATCCGTTCCGGATTAACCTATCGAATGCTATTATAATAGTGAATGCCATTCAGGAGTCCCCAACCTTTTTCACCCCGCGGACTGGCTGTGGAAGGCGGGGCACACACACCCCCACGCTCGTGTGCATGTGTGAACTAGCACACACACTCTCTTGCACAAAACAAGAGCGTGTTCATGCGCATGCACAAACAGCAGCATGGTGCTTGTGCGGGGGGCACTCATGCGCATGCGCAAACGGCAGCACTCGCATGGGCACACTGGAGCACACGCACATGCACAAATCAGCTCTGTGGGATGAGTGCGGGCAGGGGGCGGGAGGTCTCTCTCTGCAGCCCAGTCCGGCTCAGGCCATGGACTGGCTCTGGGCCGCGGACTGGGGGTTGGGGACCTCTGCTATACATAACATGGTTTCTGGGGCCTAGTTCTGACGACTTCATTGTTAAAAATATATATTTTGGGGGGGGGGTATTTTAATTTAATATTTCTGTGAATCAGCAGATATTGATCCCGTGGATAAGAGGTCCTACTCTACTGAAATGTCAAAACAGCTGAAAGCGGTATGATTTTTTTTAAAAAAATCTGTTTGTATATTATAATCTTCATTCTGCTGGGGTATGGTCTATTTTTTCATTCTATTATCACAAGAATGGCCCACAACAAAATCAGCAAAGAGTTTTGCCGCACCTTACAGATCAATAAAAAGCTTATGAGGAAGTTGATGCCAAATGACACTTGCTAAGTCAGTATCCTAACTCACTGGTTCTTAACCTTGGGTTACTCAGGAGTTTTGGACTGCAACTCCCAGAAGCCTTCACCACCAGCTGTGCTGACTGGGGTTTCTGGGAGTTGCAGTTCAAAAGCATCCGAGTAACAAAGGTTAAGAACCACTGTCCTAACTGAGCTTTCTGCTGCACAGGAAGTCCTGCCCAAATACGAACTTCAAAAAAGTATGAACTTAAGTCTTTAAGGTGCAGGAAAGCTCTTCGTTGAATTGACTGACATGGCTAACACCCCCCGCCCCGGATCCCACTCTAGGAAATTATTACAATGACATACTACAGTGTGGCTCCTGTTCAGGGTCCCAGGCCACCTTTTCTTTGATTTTTTTAAAAAATTATTATTATTATTATTATTGGCTATTATTATGTAATGGCACTCTTTTCCCCTCAGAACACAAGAGGAGCCTTGTTAGATCAGCCCAACTTTACATGAGATTTGGCAAGGGAGTACAAGAGGCGTGGTCTTCTTGGTGTTGGCCCCCAAACGGCAGGAGATCCTTCCACTCTACGACTTACCACCCTTAGGGAAGAAAGGCCGTTTAGCCTAAAGGTCCATATTGCCCTGCATCCCGTTTCCCAACCGGAGGGAGTCCAGGAAGCTAACAAGGAGGTCTGGGAGAGCGGCCCTTCCTTGTTACTTGACCCTGTCCCTTCAAGGATATCCACCATTCCCATGAAGCTATCAATTAAAAGAACTTTGGAGAGAACTCATTCCCCACGTGGGTTCTGGCCTAACAGCCATCTCCTACATGGCCTTCCCTTCCCTCTAGGGGGCAGCAGATTCTCCTCCCTTACACGAAATGGAATGTCCTTTTCTCCGTTCTGAACCTGCTTTCATCAAAGACAGCACACCTATTTGAACGCAAAAACGCCATGCCTACCTAGCAAGGCAGCTTCCTCCTCCCCCTCTTCGGCCTCCGTGGAGATGCAGCTCTCGATGGTATCTGAAGGATCCTGTTCTGAGGGTGGGGAATGAGTGTATGTCTCCTCCAGTAATCCCGATCCCTAAAAGGCAAGCATGTATATCGTTAGTTAAGCAATCACAGACCCAGGACTCACCGCCTGAAGGCACCAGATAAGCCAAGATCACTAAAGCTAAGACACTCTCAGCCTGGTGGAAGAGGCTCTAGGAAGCTCATACAGTGGTATCTTGCTAGACAATGATAATCCGTTCCACTGAAATCGCTGTTTAGCGAAATCATCATCTAGCGAAAAGCATTTCCTCATTGGAATGCATTGAAACCTGTTTAATGCGTTCCAATGGGGAAGAATCATCGTTGTCTAGCGAAGATCGGCCATAGGAAAGCCGCTTTGCAAACCGCCGATCAGCTGTTTAAATTGCTGTCTTGCGAAGCTTAGGTCCTGAAAACACCCGTTTTGCGAGCGTGGAGGGAGCTGTCAAAATCGTTGTCTAGCAAAAATTGGTTTGCAAAGCAGGGACCAAACATTGTCCAGCGAAATTCCCCCAGAGGAATCACTGTTTTGTGAATCGCTATAGCGATCGCAAAAAGTCAATGTCTAGCGAAAAAACTGTCATGTGGGGTAACTGTCTAGCGAGGCACCACTGTATATCAAGGGTGATGCACATCTGGAAGCCTGGGAGCTCCTTGGCAGGCTACAACCCTTTTAGAAATGTGGGGTCTGGTGTTGTGGAAGGGACAGGAAGGGTCTTGTTTGGGGAGAAGAAAACAAGAGAAGGCAGTTCATGGGCTAGATTCTGCTGCCGCCTTGTGTTCTTTTATAACGCAACCCTGATGTGGTTTGTACTAGAGATGAGCACAAACCACAGGTTCTTTGAGGCTCGCTTCCGAGCCGAACAGCTGATCTGCGATTTGGCGCCCTGCCCCTCCAGCAGGTACTCACTCGCTCACAGCAACTTGCCCCGTCTCCTCTAAACGCTACCTGTAAGTGGGTGCCCGCTGGAGGGGTGGGCGCTAAACCACAGGTCAGTTGCTCAGTCGGTAAATTAACCGCTACAAACAAGCAGTTTGTGGCTTTCAGTTTTGAATTACTTTCCGAAACAGCTGATTTTTTTAAAAAAATACTACATGCATAACAGCAAGCTGGTACATTGGGGGCGCTGTAAAGTAATTAATTACTTATCGTTTGCCTTTGGTTAACTGATTTCGCCCAAGGTGCCATCCTAAAATTAATCTCCAGGGTTTTTTTAGATATGAGGATTGAACTAAAATTAATCTCCAGTTTTTTTAGATATGAGGATTGACATGTTTCTTGGCACTAGGCATGGGACTTTTTTTCACTATGGGTCCGAGAGTTCATCAGGAATTCTCCCCAGCCAGAACTGTGGCAACTGAAGCTAAAAAGGTTCTCAAGGGGAATATCATAGAATCACAGAAAAGTGAAGTTGGACGGGGCCTACAAGGCTATCAGGTCCAACCCCCTGCTTGAGGCAGGAATACAATCAAAGCAGAGCTGCCAGGTGATGATCTAAATTTTTCTTGAATGCCTCCAGTGTTCGAGCACTCCGCAACTCCCGAGGTAACTGGTTCCAACCAAAATCTGGCTTCCTTTAACTTGAGCCCACTGTTGCGTGTCCTGCACTCTGGGATGACTGAGAACAGATCCTGCCCCTCCTCTGGATGACAACCTTTCAAATATTTGAAAAGTGGTTGTTGTGGGTTTTTCGAGCTCTTTGTCCGTGTTCTGAATGTTGTTCTTCCTGACGTTTCACCAGTCTCTGTGGCCGGCATCTTCAGAGGACAGGAGTAGGAACTCTGTCCGTGATTAACACCCAATCTCCTGAAAAGGACAACTATGAATACTCAACTTATCCAAATAAACTGCACCAGAGCACAGAGTTCTGGCTCCTGTCCTCTGAAGATGCCGGCCACAGAGACGGGCGAAATGTCAGGAAGAACAACCTTCAGAACACGGCCAAAGAGCC